ACAATAGTTGTAACATGAATGATCAGTATTGCTGTACAAAACTATCGCCATGCTATCTACTTAAGCAATTCCCTTCAAAATTCAGCTGCACATTCGCGTCTACAGCCCTTACTAAACCAGTCCACAATTTCTAGTTTTACATCTTTTTGAGACTCCCCATATTGAAAAATCAGTAAGAAAAATCGATAATCAGATATCCAAATATTTTTATGAAACCATGATCACCATGAGACAATCTTTTTGATATTCGACCGTGTTTCAAATTATCCAGTGCCACCAATTTTAACTTTTTTCAACCCGAAAGAACTTCTCAAAATGTCATCGAAACATGCATAAATAAACCTTGCAAATGTGGTCGGAAATAGTGTTACAATTTCCTCGCAAAAAAATCCCCAAAAGAGTAAAAACAGGAAACGCAATTTACACTGGAATAATTCTACCTTCGAACGTAGCCTGACGATTCGATTGAAAGTTATTTCAGGTTAAAAACCAAAACATCCAGAAAGAAATCCATGGAACGAAAACGAACGTATTTTTGAAGCAGATAAAAATCCCGTGTTGCATCTTAGTAACAAGAGGATAAGAATCTTTCGCGCCGCGTTAGAACCTTGTGCAACTCACGAGAGCGCTATGCAGAACGGTGAAGAAAGGATCGCGATAATCGGGATCGCGGCGCGTTCGATCTGAATAGGTGCGAAGAATACAGGTAGCCGGGGTGCGGGAATAGGCAGCACCTGGGGCGTTCGCGTGCGATAACAGCAGCGAGTATCGGTGCCAATGTCAGCGCTGAGTTATCGTCTCGTTGTTTGCCGAGGAGCCGACGGAGCCCGGGTTTCGCCAAAGGCGTTCGAGGAGGACAAACGAGCCTGGAACCAAAGCCAAGACCGTAAAGACCTGGGCCGAGCTTTCAAACGAGCTTTCTCCGCGACCCTCTAGAAACCGCAGTAATTCTATTCGCCGCAAAGGACCGCCGCATTCTACTTCGCCAGTCGATATTCGAAAATGTTTTGAATGTTGCCCGCGGGCACTCCCCGAAGACTCGCCGTTGCGAAATGATAATGGCCGATCGGCTATATCTTGCCGCTATCTCGCGCGTTTTGCCGGCGCGAATCCGGGCCCGAAACCGGGCCATTCTCCTCGATCACGGCGGATTCGTTCCGGGAACCCGATTAACGGAAAATACGAGAATTACTGGCTAATGTTATCCGTCGGAAGGATTAGGGCGGAGGGAGAAGCGAGCGCTGGACGAGGAAAGGCGGAGGGGAAACGACGATAAGAATAAAATGAGTCGCGAGCGTTCGCTGCGAAAGTAGCTGCAGTACGAGAAGAGTTGCTAATGATTCGCTAACGAGATACGTGCCCGGTTTGTTTCGTACGGGTACGAAAGACGCGCCCCGTCCCTCTGCCTCCAAGAACGAGAGAGAGAGAAGGCCTGCACCCTCTCCTCTCGAGACTCTCCACGCCACCTCCGCGACGAGCTTCGTCCTTCTCTTTATCTTTTACCTAGCCCCCATTTTGCTCTTATTGCCCGGATATCGCCGCTTGTATCGCGCTGTAACGTCGCCCCATCCCCCGTTTCGTTTGTCCACCCTAAGTTCCGGATCGTTCCTCTCTTGCCGAAAGTACGGTCATCGCTTGGCCTCTCTTCTCCGAAAGTCGAGAACCGTTCGGCAACATACTTTAATACGTGCAGGTGCACACACAGGTACAGGCAGAAGGGCGGACGATAACTAAAAATACTTCTCTGCCGGGCCGGAAACACGAATGAAGCCCCGTGTAAAAGGGAAGTGCAGCCCGACACGGGCGAACCTTTGCGTATATACGGAGTTTCCTCCGATACACATCGACTTTTCTCTCGATCCGAAACTACTTTTATTTCCAACCGCTTTACCTCCGGACTCTTATTTACGTGTCGCCGGGAAAGCGTTCCCGTGTCTCGACATCGGGCGAAGCCCTCCTTGCTGACTCTGCTCTGCTCGGCTCGGCTCGGCTCGGCTCCGCGCCTGCCGGCCAGATGTTTCGATGCCGATACCGATGTCGATGTCGATGTCGATGTCGATGTCGATGTCGATGCCAATGCCGATGCCGATGCCAATGCCGACGACGACGTCGACGTCGATTCGGAAACTGAGGCCGAAGCCAACTAGCCGGCCGCTCTGTTATGTCATGCAATGCCATGCTATGCCATGCCCTATCCTGCAATGCCATGCTTCGCTATGCCATACCATACCGCCGCGGATGTCTCCTCTACCCCCCCCCCCCTCCCCCTCTTCCCCTCGTCCGCGTTTCCATTAAAACCCTGCCAACCGAGAGTCTTTGCGAATTTATCGACCCGATCTTTGCCTACGAATATTTATGAGTCGGCCGGCCGACCGTGAAACTTGCCTCGGATTCGGGCGACGCCATTACACCGCAACGGCCCATCCCGAGATCCGCTTGCGCGGCTCGTTCGCGAAATTATTCAAATATCGACAAGAATTTTCCGTGTACACAGTGGCGTCGAATAATCGCGGAATTTCTGGCAACCGACGAATCGGCGGCGCGTACGAACCGTCGAAATTTCGTAAGAAACGATCCTGCGAGCACCGAAGCCACCGGCGATGTTATTGCGGCGACGACAGACTTGGCGATCCTGAGATTTCAACGATGATTTCCTCTGTCGAATTTCGAGGTCTTATTTTCCCGGAGAAGCGGCGAGTTCGTTTAAGTATTTTGCCGACGGAACATGAGCTCGTTCCTTTGGCTCGGGAATGAGTGAATTTAATTTTGTCATGCTGGCGGATGCAGAATCGAAATTGTACAAGTGGAATGCCTAGATATGCGACCATTTTGACATCTTCGATACTTCCCTTACCCCTCTTAGGACTTTATGCATCTCTGCATGACGTATCTTTAACTGTATTTTTAAACTGTAATTTAGAAAAGCTTGCAAAGCTCCTAAAATACAGAATAATAATAATAATAATAATAATAATAATAATAATAATAATAATAATAATAATAATAATAATAATAATAATAATAATAATAATAATAATAATAATAATAATAATAATAATAATAATAATAATAATAATAATAATAATAATAATAATAATAATAATAATAATAATAATAATAATAATAATAATAATAATAATAATAATAATAATAATAATAATAATAATAATAATAATAATAATAATAATAATAATAATAATAATAATAATAATAATAATAATAATAATAATAATAATAATAATAATAATAATAATAATAATAATAATAATAATAATAATAATAATAATAATAATAATAATAATAATAATAATAATAATAATAATAATAATAATAATAATAATAATAATAATAATAATAATAATAATAATAATAATAATAATAATAATAATAATAATAATAATAATAATAATAATAATAATAATAATAATAATAATAATAATAATAATAATAATAATAATAATAATAATAATAATAATAATAATAATAATAATAATAATAATAATAATAATAATAATAATAATAATAATAATAATAATAATAATAATAATAATAATAATAATAATAATAATAATAATAATAATAATAATAATAATAATAATAATAATAATAATAATAATAATAATAATAATAATAATAATAATAATAATAATAATAATAATAATAATAATAATAATAATAATAATAATAATAATAATAATAATAATAATAATAATAATAATAATAATAATAATAATAATAATAATAATAATAATAATAATAATAATAATAATAATAATAATAATAATAATAATAATAATAATAATAATAATAATAATAATAATAATAATAATAATAATAATAATAATAATAATAATAATAATAATAAATTGTGAGCTTGGAGTGAGTAAATTTTCGTCAGCAGAAACTCCAAATTTTCTTTTCAGTTTATAACAATTTTACGTTACATAAACGTTGAATTAGTTGTGCACAGTTCATCCAGAAATGTGACAATATGCGGCACGAAGAACGAACCAGAGCGAAATAAAGACAAATCGGAGGTAAACCGTTTGTCTGATAATTGACGAACGACGACTGCAACGATCGATAAGGGCTCATTAATATTTTCACGATCTCCACTCGAAACTATTTGTATTCGTTTTCCCCTGTCGTTATCCGCCGACCAATTAAATTCCTGCCTCCGCGACCGATTTATCATAAAAAGGAGAAAAAAACATGGAGATCATTGTTCGCCAATTATACTTTTCATAAGGCACCGTTCTCTTGCCTTTTCAGCCGTAAGATCAACGTTGATTCTAAATAGGTAATCGTCGAAATTAGCTGTCAGCAAATTTGAATTTAGATGAAACACGCTCGGGGGTCGAAATGTGCCCATCATCCGAGAGTTAGAACCGTGCCAGCGCGGCCATGAAAGGGAAATTGAAACGGTCCTAAAAACGTTCGCGTGTCTCCGCGAGGTTTATTAGATTCATTTATTCTAGCGAGTTCTCTTTATACTTTGAAGAGACGCGACAAAGAAGGACCGGCGACGGTAGTCTACGGGGAGTTTCCAGTAACGAAGTTTAAAAATGCGGCTCTAAGCCAGGCCCCTTTGTTCGTTTTTCTCTCTTTTTCCTCTCCCTGTTCCGGCGTTCTTAAGAGATCTAAAATATGGCGGAACTTTCGAGCCATCAACGCGCGCCACGAACAAACGTAATATTACGACTTTTACACCTGCTCGAACTCTCTCGCCTCCTCGAGATTCTGTCTCCTTCGTTTCCAAAAATTCGTCGAATTTCAACGGAATTATTTCACCTTTATTGCTCATACTTCATAAAAACGACTAAAAAGTCTGGAAAACGATTGGTCATAAAATTAAATAGATTCTGAAAATTCAGCTTTCAGGTTAATTTGACGGTCTTCCTAATACGTACAATGTTATGCGACTTAGGAGACAGGTTCCTACGTTCCTATGTACGTCCCTAGCAACGAGCACGCGAGAAAAGGAGGGACAAGTAGGGGAACCTCAAGACTAAACTAACTCCACCAACGCCCTATGGATGACGTTACAGCACAACAGAAACGTGATCGTGTTGCTGGAAGTTTAATTTATCGATATAATAATGAACGCGATCGGGAGTGTGACTATCTTATCGTTAGTGTTTATGGTGATGGGTAAGCAAGCTTTTTCGATCAGCATTCGAACGCTTCCGTTGAATAAAACGTGAGCAAGATTTTCTATAGGACACCTGTTGTAAACATAGCATCGTTGTAAAAAATCCATCCACCTCGACCTATTTAATGTTCACCGTGCTATCGATCACAGTCGTTAGAATGACAATAGTTAGGATGATCGTTCTTTTTTTTGATCGAACTGTTGGTGCAAACGTGAACACCCCTCCGTGCACATTTTTAGGTTATGGAAACAGCTTCGGCGTAAATGAGTATGCTCATATCGTTTTCAGGTACCGAGGCAATCCGTTGTTATCAGTGCAGCAGCGACAGCGATGCCAAAGGTGACGATTTGTGCGGAGCCTATAAAAAGTTCGATAAGGACAAGAACATCGCTATCGAATGCAACAGCGAAGAATCTCATATGCCCGGCACGTTTTGCGTGAAGATCACTCAGCAAAGTCCTCGCGGCTTCATTTGTAAGTTTCTCCTCGAAGATCTCTTCCTTTTCAATTTTAGCCGTAGACGTAAATTATTCGATTTCTGTATCACTCGAGACGAACTTCGTCGGTCCTCGTTGTATGTATTTACGATGTGAAATCATTTTCGAAGGGAACGGCAGGTGGCGACAAGTGATCCGCAGATGTTCTTCCGTGGCCAGTACCGGAGTTACCGGCGTCTGTAATTGGGGAGTCTACAAGAACGGTGTATACTGGGAAGAATGTTCATGTTCAGAAGATTCTTGCAACGGAGCAACCACGTTGTCCTCGATCTCGATGTTATTTTTACTGTTGCCCAGTATTTCGATCTATACATTCTCATTAACATAACCATAATTGTTAAACAAACTTCGAGTAGCTCTCACACAAGATACGCTTTCTTTGTGCCTTCACACGACTGCACAAGACACGTCCAGCGAAAATAATTTCATTTATGATACCGACTGTTGGAGATGGTCAAAGTACAATAAGCCTTTATAATCTGACTAGAAGATAGTATCACCAGTAACCTTGAGAGAAACGAGGTTGCGTATCCGTCCGTTTTATATTGTGTTTTTTTTTGTAAATAAATAATTTTTATATACCAATTATTGAGTTCTGCGTTTACGTGCATCCTTGCGTACTACGACTCATTTATTTCATAGTTTGAATAAGTCTGCGAGGGAAGAAAGAATTTAAATGTGTGAACGTAGCAACTGATTTTTGAACTATGTATACGAGAAACGGTTAACTAAGCGAAGTGTGTGATCTTCCATATCAAATATATTTAATTGTGGATTTTATCCGCAATAATGATACGTTAGAACAAAGTTAGATTTTGTTGAGAATTTTGTCACGCTTCATTTCAATGATCATGAGGAATCCTGTAACATTGTTTATATCGTACGTATCGCTAATTGGACTGCGCAAACTCCTGTTTTCTTTCTCTCTTCATCCACCGCGACTGTGTCTGTGCTCAACTAGCGATCACGCTAAAAGTTTGAAGAAAGTGTGACCCAGTGGCATGTTAAATTTACGGAGCATTGATTTACGTTTATAGATCGCTGCTATTTAATTTCTAGCCAACGTTTAAATAAATTGAAGTCGAACGATGAACGTCGCGGATGGAATTGGATATTCGAGATCAGAAGTATTCGTACTTGTGGCGAGGGTATCATTTGTTGCTGCTGTTGGCTTTTTTAGCATGAAATGGATAATGAATCATCTTGATCCTACAAATAATGCGAAAAAGAAGGCCAGAAAAAAGGTAATTCGTTCGTTTATATAAATCGTGAGGTTTTTCTTATATAACCTATGCAGCTCTTTCACCGCATATACTAACCTTACTTTACATACTTATTGTTCCAACCAACGTGGTATTGAATATCCTTTCAGGCGCGTGAACAGTTACGGAAGTTGGCCAAAATAGACAATTTGTTGTGGACAGTAGACATGGATCATTTAACAGACTATGAAATGATGATAGCTAATCACATAGTAGACCCTAAAGATATTCGAGTTTCATGGGAAAATATTGCAGGTCTCGAGCATGTGATTCAGGAACTTAAAGAAACAGTTATATTACCCATACAGCGAAAAGAATTGTTTGAAAACTCTCAACTAACCCAAGCGCCAAAGGTATATATTTTATGTTACCCGTAAGAAGCAATTTATTTTTGACATTTTTCTGTGAACACAAATTGTACTTGTAGGGAGTATTATTACACGGGCCTCCTGGATGTGGCAAGACGATGATAGCCAAAGCAACAGCCAAAGAAACGAGAACATGCTTCATTAATTTAGATGTAAGCATTTTAACCGATAAATGGTATGGCGAAAGCCAAAAATTAACCACAGCAGTTTTTTCTCTGGCCGTGAAACTTCAGCCATGCATCATCTTTATCGATGAAATAGGTTTGCTCCAAAAACATTTTCAATGCAGTCTTGTAACACATATGTTTTCGGTCAGAATTTATGATGTTAGTCTTCTTTTTTAACAGACTCATTCTTAAGAGCACGTAATTCACAAGATCACGAAGCAACCGCGATGATGAAGGCACAATTCATGTCTCTGTGGGATGGATTAATCACAGATACATCTTGCACAGTAATAATAATGGGTGCAACTAATAGGCCACAAGATTTGGACAGAGCTATACTCAGGCGTATGCCTGCTACTTTCCATATTCCTTTACCAGTAAATAAAATTTACATATATATGTATCAATTAACAGAGGCAATAAAAACTCTAAAAATAACAACCTCTGTATTTCAGAATGAGCAACAACGAATGCAAGTATTAAAATTAATATTGGATCATGAACCAATAGCCGACAACGTGGATATTCCGCGATTGGCCAAGATGACGGATAGTTTTTCCGGTTCTGATTTGCAAGAACTTTGCAGAAATGCATCTATGTACCGCGTTCGAGATTACCTACGCAATCATCAGTTAATACTCGCATTTATACGATTTATAAATTACGGAACTTTTGTTTGACCGATATTTCTGATTAACTCCCTCTTTTTTTTTTCTTTATTGCAGAGAGGTCAGCTCTAGTACCGATGATGAGGAATATCATGATGCTGTGCGACCAATTACTATGGAAGATCTTCTCACGTCGTATAAAAAAATGAAGACATCTAAACTCCATACGGGTGTCCTCAGTGGAGTGAAACTAGATTTAGATTAAAGTATCGAAAGAGTACCGTTTACCCGTTCATATTGAATTTTACATTTTTTTAAAAAAAAAAACGTAGGAAAATATCATTTTTTAATAAGGCTTCCCTCATGCCACGTTTATACTGCTACTTTCTTCCAATCAAAATGAGATCTAATTATTTCAGTTCATACCAACAACGTAAACTTGATTGAAGCCGTGGCACGCGGGAAGCTTGTGTAATATGAAGTTATAACTGGTGTTTATTGCAGCTAGAAATTTTTGAAGTAACTAAAAAAAAGAAGTCTTTTTGGCACTTTTGTAAAATCTATTACTTTAAGTGGAAACAAACGAAAGCTTCCACTAACTTCGTTTTGTGACTATAACTTAACACGTAATTTGTTTAGTAATTTAATTTAGTGGATTAGTATTTTAGATAAAATTTTGGTATGCTGGAAATATCAGATTACGTGCGAGTTTTCCTTAAATGCACCTCTGCACGAATTGATATGCGTTTGTATAGTATGTCCTTCGAAATAACGAGATAAACAATATATCTTGTTTATTACTGTGTAAATTCTACCATGCCATTGTTATATTGATGTGTATAAACATAAACATCCATGTTTTGTGAATGTACAGAACTAAGGACATAATCGTATTTCATAACTGACGGGTAACTCCGAGTGTTGTTAAAATGAAACAGTCTCGACTTTTCCTCGCATCTTTCTAATAAATAATAGAAGACCATTTATTTTGAAAATTTGTTTTATGATTTACCTAAACTTGGCAAAGTCAGGAATAATAATTGCACAGGACAATTAAAATCAAACGCTTGAACTAATATAGGGCGACATGAGAGTAGTACAACAAATTAACAACGTGTCCATTTGTGAAGTAATCGAATTAAATTGTTACGAGATGTAACCGTTAAAAATTGATAGTTGTGTAAATAATTTCGATAACCTTATGTGAATAGAATTATAACGATATATGCGACGAAGTGTGATGCGTGAAATCTTGTAACACGAGTTACAAGAGATAGAAATATAATGCTCAGACTACTACATATTAAGACATTATGTCTTATATTGATTAATGTTCAATATAAAAAAAGAAAAATAAATATCTTGTAAATACAACATACAGTAATCGAGAGAGAAACATTTGCGTGTTAATAAAAACTAAAGGTACAAGTTTGCGAAAAACTTACCGAACCTGAAGACTATTTTATGACAAGTCCACGGCGCGTACTTGGATATATAGTATAGTATAGTTATAGTATAGTTGAATTTAAGGTAGTTGAAGCAGCATGGCATCCGTGGAAGATAATATTTTACATTTTTCTTAGTAACAATACCATCATTCTGGAATACTAAACACTTGTTGCACATTTATACTACTGCGGTACCCGATCAAAATTCTGCAGACAACAACTCTAGTCAAGTTAACTATATTAGCACTCTAAAGCAGAGCTCTCTTAGCAGCAACTTGATGATTTCTGTAAAAAGATAGATAATTATTATTTAATGTTTTGAAATTATTACTTAACAAAAAATTATTTATAAACTTATTAATTATTTACGTGTCGGTTTCAGTTATCATTATTCGAAAGTTTTTTCATGTGCTTCTTCAAATTTGAGCTCGTTTCGCGGTAAAATGTAGATCGCAAAAAACTATCTCCTAGCAAAAGGGTTAAACTGTCTTCAAAATAACTAATAATTTCACGAACATATGCTGTATATTTGTCACGATAAAGAAATGATTAAAAATTTGCAGTTTCTGAGTTATTGATACAGAAAAAATGATATTTATTGTACTCTTTACGAGTAATACAGTCCTGTAAATGCGTTTCAGAGTTTCGCCAAGTGAGCGCGCTTGTGTCGCTGTTGCATTATCGCGTTTGATCCAATTGGATTGTACTTCACATTGTCATATCTTAGTTCCTTATTTAAACTTTAATGTAAACCATATTAAATTTTAAGACAAGTGTCATATAGTTTGCGTAACATGGAACATTTCTTTTAACAAAAACGACCTTTTATGAAATAACTCCCGATTGAATAGTGACTTTCGAAGCATTAGCGTCACAAATCAAAATAAAGATTGCTTTAAAGGTAAATATACATTTATACCACCGAATAAGAATACTCTTACATTTTTGTATAAATTCAGGGTCTTATCATACCAATTTCTGGAAAACAGTTGTACTGCCTAAAATCGTGATTATCGAACTAAGTCACTGTCGTATTATATAGAACGATATAACATTCTTTTTCATTTCAGCCGACCGACTTTGTAGAAGCAAAGCCTTCGAATACGCGACAGATACCCACGAAAGAGGAGATCGTTCAAACAGCTGGTAAATATGCAGTTTAAGGCAGCCACCTATAATTTCAATGTTCTTGAAATATGTTGTAAATACTGTAATTCTGAATAACTTTTTTCTATAAAGATTTGGGTTACAGATACAGTAGTTCAAAGAAAAACTCGACTCTTGGAAATTCTCTTATTCTCTACATTTTGCGGACAAACATTAGCAGTGTTACCAACTGTCCAAGTCTTAGTTTAAATTTTTTTGTTTCAGATCTAACCCAAACTCTTAGAGCGTGCTCTAAGCCCACACTTATTTCAATAAAATAGCAAGAATATAATAGTTACTTTGTTTCGGACCCGTTATAACATTCATCCGAAGCCTTAGGTCTGAGTTAGATCTCGAACGCGAAATACAATTTAAAACATCCCTTTTAAGATGAACCTCTACGTACTCGAATTTCTGATCTGATCGAATCCCTATCTTTTTAAAATTGGTTTCGCGTATATCTTACAAACCAAAGGATATCGCCTATCATATCTTGTACGTATAGGACAGAGTTGTGCAGAATGATGACCTTGACAACATGTTGTCAAGGTCATTGATATCGGAGGATGGTTCCCACGTACCGTGTATTTATCAAAATGCTTCAATTATGCAAGAAAAAGTTGCATCGATTGCAGAATTCGAGGGGAAAGAAGTTTAATCCTTGTGATTCGGCGCGAACAATCGGTAAGTAGGAAGAAAAAGCGGAAAAATATGGGGGAAAACGAGGGAACGCATGCGCAAAGAAAAGGATACTGACGGAGCAGCGTCTCAGTAGCTGCGAAAGTTTCCGGGAATGAAACTTCTAGGAGCACAAAGCCTCCGCAGGGCTCTGTCGTACCCCTCTTCCTTCTTTTGACCGGTGAGCTACGGCCGTAAAGTCTGAGGCACACCGTGAACAGATCAAGAGAATAGAGAAGTACATACATACAATATTTTCCGGGGACCGGAGGTGAACGTCGTCGACTGAACGACGACAGAAAGAAGCGCAATCGAGAAAGAGAGAAAGAGAGAGAGAGAGAGAGAGAGCGGTACGAACGCGTCATTGTGAATGGCGCTCCTAGTGATAAAGGTGGCTGCGGAACACTTTCGATTTCGTATCGGATGAAAATTGTGCTCGAAATGGATGTTACAATGAGTACCACCGTTCATTAATCAAATGCGGAGCGGCTTTCACCGATTTGACCGATCGGTGCTCGTTCCGTGTCAGCTATTCGACGAAGAAATGCGAGCGAACACGAAAAGAAGAACGACGGCAGCAGCCGGATTCCGGTACGATCATCCGTAAAATCCAGCATAGAGAGCATCGTGGCGTTCGTTCGCAGAGTGGACTGTTCTCTGCAACACCTGCGGTGCATGATTCTATGCATTGTTGGTGAGTGTGCGTATCGCGTACGCGTATGTACCTATATACCTGCGAGCTACGCTTCTACCTACGTTATCAAACCAAGGGAGTAACGTAGGGATTGCTGTTGTTTTTTTGGTCCTCTCCCGAGAGCGCGTACGTGAAATCTCTTCTTTACTCGCGCGATAGGACACGGGACAAGCCTGTCGAGTTATTACTTTGACACGATCACACGATTCTACCACGGGAACGTGATCGTACTGTGAATGGAGGTCCGCTGTCGAGTTTGCACGAGAGTATTCGTCCCGAAGTGTTTGAAACTTAGCCGATCCCGAAACAACCTCGACAAAACGAACTCGAAGAGTTCACTGAGATCTCCTCTCTTCTGGATGTTATTATTATTTCTTAGAAATTCACCGTAACTGGGAGTGCCGCCGAACTGCACAGTTGAACATGCTCCAAAAGTACTGCTCCGAATTTTACGTTACACGCAAGGAACGATTGCTTCTTTACGTTACAAATGTAATATGGTGTCTCGAACGATTAGTTTGAATGGTTCGTGGAGATTCGCCGCGAATCTCGGTCGTATTCGCGATTAAAGAAGACCGCGGACGGTGGATCAGTGGAACTGGCATGAAAATGTGGTGTTAAGTGGCCTCTGTGGTATACTGCTAACGGTGCTTAACCTAACTTTTCCTCGACGCTTCTACACGGCGTTTTCTTGCGAGTAATGTTCTTTCGATAATCTGCTTCAAACTGAGAGAACACCGAACTGGGAAACTTGTTGTATACTTTCCCCCCCGTTGTTTTTCTTCTTTCACGTCTCTGCCACGATTATTTCGCACCGTTTGTAATATATGTTTTTATCAGTGTCGGAAGTCTCGAGTACGATAGTACCTTTGTAAAATACTGAACGTGGTAACTGGCACGCTTTTCATTCGAATCGTATTGATAAACGGCGGAAGGATTGATTCAACAGTATTTCTGTAAACGCATTTTTAACGGCGTCCTGTTCTACGTTTACGTTCAAATCGAAATCTATACATTTATTTTCATTTTTTTCCCTTCACCTTGATCATGATTCTCTTGCCACCTGCCAGTATCTATGTACAATTTATTATTTGTTGTAGAAATACACCTAGAGTCTATTATTGTTCGTGATTGCGTTTTAGATGTGACACTGTCGCCAATATCCTCTTGTTTTAGTTTGGTGTAGGCAGTCTTGATATTTAGTAATCGTCATGTTCTTTTGAAGCAACCAGGTTAAACAATGTAGGAAGATATTCTACCTTGCTTAATTCTACAAGTTCCATGGAAAATTATAACGATCGGTTGCTAAATGCAAGCATATTTATAGCATTTGTTCGTACGTTGTGATGTGTAGTGTGTTCAGACCCAACCAAGATTGATTTGTGTGTATTGTACACGTTAGTAGTTACGTGGAACTGGTGATTGCCATGGTGATACTAATGCCGAACTATAATCTAGTGGCAAATTATCGAACAGAAAAAAGAAAGGCTCGATGAAATGGATAATATAAGGCACACATGCTCTGGGAATTGATGGGTGTATGCTTTTCCTGCAGGAGACCTACAGGCAGCAGGCTAAATAATAAAATCTCAGAGCATATCTCAGCACCAGTAACATCCCTCCATGTTTGTCTGGAGGAACAAAGAGGACCAGAACTGGGCTCTTGTGACGCCTCGGCTCGTAAGCCACAGGTAGATCGAATTATTCTAGCTATATTCTATGCAAATCATTGGAGAATAATAAATCAACACGTTCTCTTCAGGCTAAAAAATTATTTGAAAAGCAGGAAGTACAAAAAAGGTGTAGTGAAGAAGAAGCGGAGACTGAATTCTTTAGACTCGAGGCAGAAGATTTGAAACAGAGTCATTCGAGCATGGCAAATACTATTAGTAATATGAAGATGACCAACCGCATCAAAGGACTTGTCAGCAAACGTCGTAAACGGTTTACAGAGGATGGTTTTGATCTTGATCTCACATGTATCCTTTTTATTGGCCAATATTGTTGGCGTAAGTCGACTATTTGGAACGCGTAGCGTACGCTGTTTTATTTATGTATTCCTTAATTATTTTCTGTCGACTATAGATATCAGGGATAACTTGATTGCAATGGGTTTCCCTGCTGAAAAATTAGAAGGGGTCTATAGAAATCACATCGACGATGTTGTTAAATTGCTGGAATATAGACACAAAGATCATTATAAAATTTACAATCTGTAAGTTTTGACCATCGACGTTACGTTTCCTCAATCGCTCCGTTCAAAAGGAGTAATCGATAATGATTGAAAATTAATTTTTAGCTGTTCGGAAAGGTCGTACGACTGTAAGAAGTTCAAACAACGGGTAGCTACTTACGCATTCGATGATCATAATCCACCGATGTTGGATCAAATAAAACCGTTCTGCGAAGATGTGCACCAATGGCTTTCCGAGCACCAAGAAAACGTAGCTGTAGTTCACTGTAAAGCAGGCAAAGGTCGAACAGGCGTCATGGTTTGTTGTTACCTTCTTCACACCAAACAATTTCCCACAGCCACAGAAGCTCTTAATTATTATGGAACTATAAGGACGCACGATAGGTAACTATTTACAAAATGTCTTGCGAGCGTTGCCAACTAACAGGCTCATTTCGTTCTTTGTTTCATTTCGTTATCCGTACAGGAAGGGGGTAACGATACCTTCTCAGAGAAGGTACGTCGATTATTATGCCACTCTTGTTAAGGAGGGATTGAATTATCAACCGGTTAAATTGTTGTTGCGGAAGATAGAACTAGATCCAGCGCCTATATTTCACGGAGGTCAGGGATGTAAGTGAAAACGGCCCGTAAATAAACAAGAAAAAAAGCACGATGTAGGATGACGTGATAACACGAAGCATTGTGTTTTCAGATTTGCATTGCGTAATATCCGAGTCGAAGAAGAGGATATTTAGTTCTGACATAGTAGAAGTACGAAAAGGAATAGCGACTGTCTGTATCCCCTTGAAGCATAGCGTCGCGTTGACGGGGGACATACGAGTAGATTTTTTTAATAGGCCAAAAATGAAGCGAAAGGTAATCAAAGCTTCTGTTTGTTAAAACGATTCGCAGTCGTAGCACCCTATCAGAATCACAATCTAGCGATCCCTTTGTCTGATCCGCAGGAGAAATTGTTTCATTTCTGGTTCAATACGTTCTTTGTGCGCGACTGCTTCACACCGGAATACGATAACGGAGAGTTACCGATCGATCGATCGACAAGGGCATTGAGCTGCGACGGTACAACCATGGAATTGCCGATGGTGATGTCGCATATGAAGCCTAGAGCAGGATCACTGGCTAGCCTCGGACCTATGCCACCTACGTTGTTTCTGAGCATAGACAAATGGGGCTTGGACGACGCACACAAGGACAAACATCACAAAGCGTACAGTGCGGACTTTAAGGTAGGTGTTCACCGAAGACTCGGCGAAATAATGGGAGTACGATCGGTCGCAGAGCGCCCTGGATTCGCAGTTTTATTTCTCGGCAATCGAATGTTGCAGGTTAGCTTATTTATGCAGCGAGTGGGCGGTAGTATGTCGCAAACTGTGCCAGCAACGGCAAACAGAACCGGGGAGGGTATACAAATAGGGATGGGAGGACAAGAAACTCCCAGCGAGTCGAGCGAAGCGGACAGCAGTGAATGCGACACGACCGGGGATACGACCGGAGATGAAGATGGGGAATCTGGTGAGTCCTCTGCATCTCTGGTGATGAATCACCATCCCCTTACACATAGCAGTAGCCGTACACACGTTAGTACCCACCAAAGAGCTAGTCTCAGAGAAACTGCAAAAGGTTTGCTCCCGCGAGGGGAGAAAAGTAGAAGTAGTCACCGACAGAGCACTAGTAACGTCAAATGTTCTTCGGCACTCGTACGTTCAGCTACTTTAGACACATAGTGAATAGCAACTTATTACGTATGTATGTATGTATGTATGTATGTATGTATGTATGTATGTATCTAAGTATGTATGTATGTATATATACACACGTTTCGTTTAAAAGCTTTGTACTTAACAGTTACTTTCAGTTCTCTGAACTGGCATTCAAGCTTTACCAAGTTCACAACAAACGATGGAATCCACTTTGTACTATTTAGCTTTTTTGTTTATGCCAGCATGAAATGCCAAGTATACGACCACTTGATACGCATCGATTTTACATGAAATCGTTCAGTACACCGAACAACGTTGTAGCCCGTGGATCGATACGGATCGATGTCGCTCGAGGAACTAGCTCTTTTTCTCAAACGAAAATCCAGCGTCGATCGGGGCGAATCTTTCGGTGGATGCTTTCGCGTCCCCTTTGACGGGACGGTTTCCGGTCCCGAGAGATTTCACAAATTGTATATACCGTGGCGCGAGGGACGGCCGAGGACACACGGCTCTCGCCCCACGTTTTCTGTCCAACAGGAAATTTTTCGAATACACATACACGGTCGAGATCGGGTCGATTGGTTTTAACTCGAAGGGCGTCGACCTAAAGGCTCGCACACGGCCCACACATTTTCGTATTGACGCGTCATATCTCGCGATTAAAGATTCCATTCAATGTTCCGAACGAAACAGACGGCCGAGAACCGCGGTCCAGCCGAGACATTGCATGTTTCTTTAGTAGCGTGTGTTGCCAGAAGTTTATTTATTCTTTGCTAAACGATAAGTACGCTAGAATTCAACTGCTTACGAGTTTCGTACGGAAGTTAATTCGGGCAACGACTAGACACGTAATCTTTACTTTTTACGGTTTATTTACTTCTCGGTAGAATCTTCCAAGTATTTCGCATCGTTGATCGTTCAGCGTTCAATTGTCCGTAACCGAGCAGTCGAAAAACGTTGTACACGTTAAACGATATTAGATAAGGGAGTTATTTAGCAGAGATCGAGGATGTATCGAGTTTTGCGGAAACGCAATTTTATACTATTAATGACGTACTATGTACGAGCTAAGTATTCGGTTTGGAAGTTATGCGAGCAAACAACCAGTCTGCGGAAACCGACGCGATCATTTTTGTTAGAGCTACCGTGCTCGATCGCGCCAGCGAATAGAGAAGACAAAACACAAGTCGAGCGTATGCTATTATATTCCGATCATTCATTCGTTCATTCGTTCACACGTTCATTCGTTCATTTCGGAAACGCCGGAGCTGACTTCCGCGGTTATTCGACGACGTGTCCACGAACGGTCGTCGTCGACGAACCTTGTGAGATAAATAATGTTCACGTGCGCAGAAAATTTCATTGTTCCCCCGATCGTCCCCACGGAAGTCGCGGTGAAATATTAGCAGGCTGTGCAATTTTCGAATCTTTTTATTCCCCGATGTGTCCGTTCCATTGTGATTACTTTCTTTTTGTACGGTCGTCAAAGGTGCAGTTCGTTTCGAATAAAACTATCGCGTCGCGAAAAAAAAAGAGAAAGAAAAACAAATTGTCGATGATCGCGAGCGAACACGCAAGCTAGATCTTTCCCCCCTCGTTATTCTCTCCAAGTTTCCTCCGTCGGAATTTTCCTAGATAAGAACGCGGAAACCGCGCCGACCGACCGAATTTCCACGGACCGCACGCGCGCGCGCGCGGACGGAGATCGTCGCCGTAAAATTCCGTTTTAAAGAAGCGGTCTTAAAACTGACATTTTTCGGTTCCCAAACGATCGAAACGCGATTGTACGCGTGTCGCAGTCCGTGGAAATCGGTCTCGGAGCGGATCTCGTCTCGAAGAAGCTTTTCTTTTGTTCATCGGTTCGCCGTTTCTCCGACAGTATTTATTGCGTATCTTTGCACGCGTGCGACTACCAAATCTTTCTTTTCTGTACGCGGACATCGCGTGTCGCGACGAAGTTCTCATCGCGATCGGACAGTTGTGTCCGTCTTTCGTATCACATATTCTGTCGCATCCCCGAGCGAGCACACACCGATCCGCATTTTTATATTCGCCGTTATAAATCCCCCTCCCCCTCCCCACCTAGCTTCACAAAATTTCCGAATCTTCGGCGGGGACGTTCCTGCTGTCGGAGGACTTTCATAGGATATTTAAAGATTAGCGCGAGAGAAGAATCGGACACGATGCTTGTCGTTCTTTTTTTCTTTTTTTTTTTGTAAATACACGGCGAACGTCGATACCGCGTTAAAACGACTGGATACGAGTCGTTTATTTTGAAAGTGGCATAAGTCACTTTTTCAAAAAAATCGAGTTAATGGTAACACTAATTACAATTGAACGGTATCTTTTCATTTAAAAAAAAAAGTGACTTATGCTACTTTAAAAATAAACGGCTCATATTATACCGGTGTCTTGTTTTCGCGCGTACTCGTCGGAAACCGTGTCGCGTGGCTTCAGTTCCGTCTCGAATCTTTTTACCTTCATTTTAGAATCGCGCGTAGCGTTTGTACCACGTGCTCGCAATAGTTTTCCTCGTTTCCAACGAACAGTGCACGCGTATGGTGAACCGCAAAACGAGCGTACCCCAACCCTCTCGCCCCCTTTATCTGGTTGATGATAAAGACAATACGAACCACACTGTCTCTCGTATATCTTTCGTTAAACTCCCCTTCTCCCCCCCCCCCCCCCCCCCCCCCCCCCCCCCCCCCCCCCCCCCCTTCCCCCCTCCCTCCCCCCCCCCCCCCCCATCGCCCCGCCCCCAACCCCCACCACCAAGACCCCACCACCGGTTTAGAAGTTATACGTCGAACGGATATTCGAACGCGCCTGTACACGTTTTTAATTTTATTCTTGAGTTTTCTCATATCGTTGCATGTTAATAGTTGATACTCGTAGTTTTGCAAGTTTTTATAACGTCTGAAATATGTAAAACTGATACCGCACACACCATCTCTATCTTGTATTGTGAAATGATTACTTTGTGATACTATTATATTATATATATATATATATATATATATATATATATATATATATATATTCTTCTCATTATTTAAT